TAACAAAATATAAAAATTGCAAGAAACATTTAAATACATATGGAAATATAAGAAATATTAACAAAATATACCAATTACAAGAAACATTAAAATTAAAATTAATAGGACATTAAAATTAATAAAATGAAAATTACAAATAATTTACCTCATCGCTTAGATTTCCTCGCTTGCATGGTTATTCATCGCTTTTGTGAGGGCATCTCTCCATTTCCCCAACTCTTTGTTGATAAGTTTTCACCGACTTGACAATGCGCTTTCCATACGGGTGGAACCCGATCTTTCAACAAATTCGTGAAGAATTTTTTTCCATATTTGACTTAATTTCATCTCATTACCCGATATGGGATCATGACTAATTTGGACCCAACACTCACACAACAAGACATCTTCCATGATGCTCCATGCCTATCCGGTTTCTTGAGAAAAAGCCATTATGATAGAGAAAAATTAAACTTGAAAATGAAAACAATTTAGAGTAAAAAATGAAGAAAATATTGAATAGAAAGTGAATAATAGTTGGAGAAGGAGAAGATGTATGAGAATTTGTTGTTAAACTGAAGAGTAGGTGTTGGTATTTATAGAAAAAAATCAGTATTTTTTGGGATTTTTTTAAAAATATTTACGATTTTTTTTCATCATTTTTTGCCTGGAAAAATTCCAGACCATAGGATTGGCTGACAAGGCGAAGTTGGAAGGATGAGAGGTTGCCACGTCGCACATATCCGTTGGGTGCAAAAGCTAACGCGCGATTTTGAATTTTTTTAACGTCGGCACGTGTACGCGCCAACGGTAATTTTTTTTTAAAACCGCGTGATGACGTCACGCTGGCATCAGCGATGACGTCAGCCGCGCACTCGGGCTCCCTCCGCCTTGGGGCCAGCACTTGCCCCAGCCCGAGGGGGCTGCTGGAAATGGCCTTTAGTTGTTGAACAGGGCGGCATCATTCTGGCTAGGCATTATTTGAGCATTGACCTAGACCTTGCGCAGGCTTCGGGTCAGCTCAAGTTCCAAATTCAATGATCCATTTATTTTTGTGTTTCTTTAATCGGGAGTTGAGACTTAAAAATAATTAAGAGAAGAAAGGTTTATTTGATGTGGAGTAAGATTCCTTCCTCCAATGAAGAATCATATGACCTTAGCTAACAAAATCCCATATCAGAAGCAAAGCCTTTTGCTTTCAAAAATAGGAGGAGCTTCCAATTTTTGAGAGAGAGAGAGAGAGAGAGAGAGCCCACACCACACCACTCTGTCCCCACGATGCTGCTTTTCGCCTTGCTCTTCTTCTCCCTTGTGGCCCAAGCCTGCTCGGCATCTCAACCAACTACCCACCCACACCAACCACAACAACAAAAAACAGAGCGAGGCACGGAAAACATATTCATTCTGGCCGGGCAGAGCAACATGGCGGGACGGGGGGGCGTCGTAAACGACACTGTCACAGGCATCGCCACCTGGGACGGCGTCGTTCCGCCAGAGTGCCGGCCCAACCCGTCCATCCTCCGGCTCAGCGCTGACCTCACGTGGGTCGAGGCACGTGAGCCTCTCCACGCCGACATCGATGCGAAAAAGACCAATGGGATTGGACCCGGCATGGCCTTTGCCAAGGCGATCTTGGTGGCTAACCGCTCTGGCGCCAGTGGCGTGATTGGTTTAGTGCCCTGTGCAGTGGGTGGGACCAACATAACCCAGTGGGCACGTGGTTCTTTCTTGTACAATCAGATGATCAGGAGAGCCAGGGCTGCGTTGAACAATGGCGGTACGATCAGAGCACTGCTCTGGTATCAGGGTGAGAGCGATACGGCTAACAGAGAAGACGCCAAGTCTTACAAAAACAGAGTGGAAACTTTCTTTGGGGACGTCCGCTTGGATCTGCAATCTCCAGCTCTCCCAATAATCCAGGTACCATTAATTAATTACTTAATTTTATTCATTCCTTTTCTTATCTAAAAATTATGTTACTTGGGTTTTCGATCTTTAGTTTCAATCTTGGATCAAAAAGCTTCATATCACATGCCATTTGGTACTTGAATCAAAATTTAAATAATTTATTAATTTTATATGCTTCCTTCTTATGTCCGCAGTAGGTAAGGTATATTCAATTTGGACCATTCTTATGAAAACCTAGTACAACTTGGTATTCTTAATGTGATAAATATGCATACATATTTGAGGGACATTCTTGTACAGCCCACCACGCATTGTATTTCAATGATCTAAACTGTCTACTTTTTATATATAATTTTAGTAGTTATTTCAAATCAAAGCATTTCCAAGCAGAATTGAAATGGACAGAAAGAATTGAGCATAGGTTAGGCAAGCATTGGTTTTATGAAACAAAATATTCAATTACAAGTTATAGCTATCTGCATGCATGAAACCTAGCTAGCAAGCATTGGTTTTATGAAACAAAATAAATCAAATAATATCGTTCATTTTTGTGACATATATGTAGGTGGCTCTAGCATCTGGGGAAGAAGCAGCTTTCATAGAGACAGTTAGGGAAGCCCAACTGGGAGTTGACTTTCTAAACGTGCGAACCGTTGACGCCAAGGGTTTGCCATTGGAAACTGATGGCTTGCACCTCACCACCCAAGCCCAGGTTCGGCTTGGCCAAATGCTGGCTGCTGCATATCTTCAATTTCTGCCAAGCTCCTCCACTGCCGGTACCAGTGATGCACTCTGTAATTTTGTTTCCAATTTGGTAATTTTTCTGCTTCTGAAATGTTTTAGCATAATCATAAGCTAGCTTGTTAGTTCCTTCCTTCGTAGGGTCCAAAATTCAAATTGTTTGGCTTTAGGGTAAAGGCCAAACTAATGCCCTGTAATTCCATGCCATATATATCAATTTTTGGAGATGTGATAGCATTAGTGATAAGAGTCATGCACATGCCACGCTCAATAATTTCCACGCGCAATTCACGATAGCATATTCCTAATTATAATGGAACCAGACCCGAGTCTAAGGAAGGGCTAGATCAAGATTATGACAGTTTTTTTGAAGTAAGTAGGAAGCGATGGCCTATTTATACATACGTGTATCAATCAGATTTCATTGGAATGTTAAGAAGAGACAAGAAGCAACAAGGATGAGCAGCTGCTTAGCTCACCTAACAGGCTGAAATGAGCTTTTCTCATTGCCCTTCTAGTTCATCTTAGAGCAGGTCCAGCGCAGGACCCAAACTGGGGGAAAGGGCCCCCTGGCGAGCCCGAGATGGCTCCAGCGCAAGAGAAGCAACCCGGTTTCGTGGTGGGTCCCATCAGCCCGAACAAGCCCAAGGGCAACTTCTGTTTGGGCTGAAGCCCGAGTTTTGTGACATCAGCGTTGGCATCACGCTGACGTCAGCGCACAGTAAAACAGATTTTTTTTTGCCAAAAAAATTCGAAAAAATTCTGAAAAATTCTGAATTTTTTTTTTTTAAATACCAAAAAATTATGTATTTTTTCCCTATAAATACCTAACCATTTTATTCACTTTCTACACCAAATCTTCATAAAAACTCATCTCCTTCCAATATTTTTCACTTTCCACATCAAAATCTTGGCAACGAGGTAAAAAAAAAAAAAAAAATCCGTTTTATTCAATTTAATGTTTTATATATATATATATTTCTTGCATTTCCAATTTCTTTTTTTTAATAGATTAGTCAAGGCAAAACCAAAAATGTTATTCGAAAAATTTTATCCAAAAATTTTATTTGAAAATTTTATTCGAAAAATGTTATCTTAAATTTTAAATGAAAATTTTATAATAAATAGTGACACGTGACAACCGAAAATATAATCTAAAAAGCTTATCAAAATTAATAGTTTAAAGTATAAACAAATAGGAAATAAAGTACAATGAATAGTAATTGCCTTAGACTTGCCCTAGACTTTGCCCTCATGGGTGGAACCACAAATGCAAAGGCTGACACTATTCACGTGAATAGTGGCATCCCTTGCTTGCCCTTGCCTTAGACTTAGCCCTTGTGGGTGGAGATGCTCTTAGGACATGCCCAATCCACGTACTCTTGCTTTGTCTTTTTGGGTCACAATCTACCTACCGGTTGTTGAATAAACATCAATCTGGTCAAACACCGTGAATTTGGGAGGAAATTAATGAGCGGCAATGCTAATCAAATCGTTGCTTGGGTTCAAAAAAATCTAACAACACTCTGCAGTCCACTTTCCCACCTAAGATATTAATTCAAGCTGCTAAAATTAGTTAATATACCCTTTTATCAATAAATTAGTATATGGGAAATTACCAAAACCATAATATTGCTTGTTAATAAATATGGGATATTACACTACACACATCATTCCCTTTTTTTATTTTTTAGTTTTTTTGGTTGCCGGCCATTCTCCATTCGGTAAAAGTTGTGATCACTTGAGCTTCACTGCCATGCCAAATGTAATTACCGCCCCATTTGGAAAAGTTGTGCTCAAATTTTCATCATTTACTCCACGTGAACCTGCGACCCAATATAAAATCACAAAAAAAGAAAGACAGCACGAGCAATAATTACCGTGCGAGGCATGAAGAAAAAGAAATCTGCCTCTGTCCACAAATAGTAAGCAAGCAGCAGAGTGAGACAAAACCCACATAGAAAATGGCCATGGTTTTATTGGCTACTCTATTTTCTCTGTTGCTAGCAACCCAATTCAATGTAGGCGCTTGTGCTGGCAGCAAGAACATCTTCATCCTCGCAGGCCAGAGCAACATGGCAGGACGAGGAGGCGTCATCAGTGGAGGCAAATGGGAAGGCAATGTCCCGCCCGAGTGCCAGCCCAGATCGTCAATCGTCCGACTCAGTGCTCAACTCGGATGGGAACAAGCACATGAGCCGCTCCACGCTGACATCGATGTGGGCAAGACATGTGGGGTTGGGCCAGGCATGGCTTTTGCCAATGAGGTTCTCAGAGCTAGGGGCTCAAGATTTGGGGTCTTGGGTCTGGTTCCCTGCGCTGTGGGTGGGACGAGAATCGGTGAGTGGGCTCGAGGGACTCGGTTGTATAACGAGTTGGTGAGACGAGCCACCGAGTCAGTCAGGGAAGGTGGAGTTATCAGAGCGGTTTTGTGGTACCAGGGAGAGAGTGACACCGTGAACAGAGTGGACGCTGAGGGGTATAAAGGGAATTTCGAAAGGCTTGTTATGGACCTGCGTTGTGATCTTAAGAATCCAAATCTTCCTGTCATCCAGGTTTGCATCATTTGCCCTGTTTTTTTTTTCTCTTAGTGTAAACTACTTCTATGTCCAACTGTCCTAACTCAAGCCTACACTTTGCTCTTGTTTTTTTACCCAAAAAAAAAAAACCAAGTTATTTAAAAAGTTTATGCAGGAAATAATACCTGTGCCAAGAATTTTTCTTTTCGGTAAGATTTGAAGTGCCAAAATCATCGCGGAAATGTATTGTTGTGACATGCATGGTGATCAAGGATTGAAATATCGGCCGATACACCGATATATCGGCCGATATATCGATATTTTGAACTGTCGACACCGATATTGGGGGGTAAGGTCATATCTTCCCAGATATCGACGATATATCCCCGATAAGTGCAATATCCCCGATATTTTCCGATACCTATAACAAAACCCAAAAAAATTCAAAAGTTTTGAAGCAAATTGAAACTGAAAAGATTTTTTTGGAGGTATATGTGCAGTGATTAGATATATGTGTGAAGGCTTTTGGCAATATTCAATTCAAAAGATGTTTTGGAGTATGCATGTTTTAGAGTATGCATCAAAAGAATATAGACTATGCATCAAAAGAATATAGACCTAGTACTAACTCAAATGAATCTTATGATGGCTATGGTTATGTCATGTCTGATTATAGTGGAACTAGATATGGAGCTCAAGATGATGAAACAGATTATGGACCTACTAGTTGGGTTAATCCTAACTATCCCATATATGGGATGACAGTAGGGAGCTCAAGAGAGACATATGTGCACTGCGTATTACATACCACTTATAATTCATCATATATATATATATCTTATTATTAAATTTTGAGTTTTATTTGTTCAATACATTCATTGACAATGTACATAACATAACATCTATGAAAGTTTTACACCAAAATTATGTGTTTCAATGCCTATATCTGTCATTTTTGTTGATTTTTTCTCGATACCCAAAACGATAACGATATATCCCTCGAAATATCTGTAAATTGAAGGCCCGATATTATCTGCACGGCCGATATTTTAATCCTTGATGGTGATTGTGGATTGCAGGTGGCATTGGCATCAGGAGAAGGGCAGTTTGTAGATGTAGTGAGGAAAGGTCAGCTTGATGTTAAGTTAGGCAATGTCAAATGTGTTGATGCAAAAGGCCTGCGTCTGAAAGAAGATCACCTCCACCTCACTGCCATATCTGAGGTCCACCTGGGGATCAAGTTAGCTCGTTCCTTTCTTAATTCTTCTGGGCATCACCTTTAATCTGATGTGCCAAAATGGTAACACTCTTGAGAAATGTACTCATGTTAGAAACTTCTTAAAATTTGCAGTTCCTAATTTGTAGAATATTTATTTCTAATATACAACTATTATTTTTGTTTGAGGACGATAGTAGCGCAAGTGGTTAAGGCACTCCCCTCATCACCCCAGTAATTCTGGATTCGAAACCCCCCACCACTTGTAACGTTGACACAACAAAAAAACTATATTTTTTGTTGTAGCTTGTGAATCCAATTTGGGTGTCCAGAAACAATTATTGGGTTGGCTCCCCATAAAATCAGTAGTGACCTATTGGGCCTATTTGAACCTTTGTGGCCCTTGGAAAATGGCCCTTCCTTCTTATGGTTATGGGCTTTTCAGTTCATTTATCCATTAGCAGAAAGTTAACGTCGGCAGAAGAATCAAGGTCCCATATTATATAGCAGGTGTAAGATTGCCATTGGCTCAACGATATACAAAATCTTGTGGTGAATTAGCCACCGTCACAAATTCACATGCTTGTACTGTGATAGACGATTCAGATGCGTGGACACAAAACGGACAGCTCACAGGGCACGTGTCAGCACCTGGTAGTCTTGAGGTCGACGAACTTAAACTATATGTATGTGCCTTTCCCCGCTGATTTCATTTCTTAAAACTGTCAAAGCTGAATTTTGCAACATGAGTACCCCGAAAGTATAGAAATTTAACCCATAGTTTTCTTTTATGCCATATGTTTTTTATTTGTATTTGGATTCACTGTAGTTTTGCTGTGATTAATTAGGTTGGGTTTTGCAGGTAACTGAAGAGAAAAAGGAGCAAGGTGGAGTGGAAATCAAGGTGGTGGACACGGTTGATTATCGATCACCGGCGGGGGAAGACAAAAAACCCACAAAGGAGGAGGTGGAGGTGGTTCATGAGACTAAAGATGGGGCCAATTCAGGGACTGGAGGCGGTGTCCTTGCTAGTGCAGCAGCTGCAGTTTCAAATGCCTTTCAGTCCGCCAAGGATGCAGTTTCTGGCAGTGCCAAAGATCAGAAGACCACTAAATGACTGAGACCATCTGATCATATCATTATCTTAATGTAACATGTTCTTCTTGGATTGGAATTTGGATGGAGAATAAAGACTGTTTTGATTTGAATGTTTCCAACCAGGCACTCAATTTTTTCCTTAATTGGTCAAAATGGCTTTCATAAACTAACCCGTAATGTACAACACAACACCACCATTTGGGAAGACATTGTCTTCTTGGAGCACCTGGGTTACACTTTAGAGCATCATATTCCAATAGGATAGAGGATTGGACATTTTTATTTGGCCCAATATAAAAGACAATTAGACATGAGCCAGGACACAGCCTAGAGTCCCTCTCAAGTTTAAATTCCTTCCACCACAACCAAAGGGAGAAAAGGGACAAAGGACAAGCAAAAACAAAACAAAAGGAAGTTTGGACATGTTTTGACATGGCATTGGCAACCATTAAATTCCCATTTTCTCTTTACTTATCACAACTCTCACCCCCTCCTTCTAGAACAGAAGAACCACTATCAACAGTTCCATCAATATTCATCTTATACCGCATGATGATTGGCGCTGTACTAAACTCTTCAGTACCTATGTGCCTTCTTTCATATGGCTTGTTTATGCACTATATACAGTTAATTTGCAAAGCTTATTCAAAACCTTTATATGCCCCCCCTTCTCATCTTCTTCTAGGTACACCGGTTTGTGTCCGATGCAACCCACTTTCTTAATAAGTTGATACAAACACAACCCGTTAAGTTAATAAGTGAAATAATTCAAATATTAACATGACCAACAAGATTAATGAGTAACACAGCACGACTTGTTTCATATGTTTAGAATTCTAATCAGAGCCGGCCTTGATCCAAGGCGACCAAGGCTACAACTCGTGGCCCAATTTTTTTTTCCAAGCCTATGTATATGTGTATCTAAATAAAATATAAAAATAAAAGAGAGAAGCCAAACCGCCTAGAAGGAGCCGTACGTGAACCAAAGAGGAAGCCAAATCAATCACTTTTTATATTCTCAAGAAACTTATTGAGGAAGCAAAATCATTTATTAATTATATAATATAATATAAAACAAAATAAACAAAACATGGGGAAATCAACATTCTTAGCCCCCAAAAAACCCTTGCTAACGTATCAGACCTTCTCAGAAGTTCATAACACAAGCAATTTTCTGTTGTTGTGATTCTCCTCTTCTCCAACACTGAATTGGAAAATAAATCATCCACAAGCTAGAACAGTGCCTTTCTTTGAATGTAATTTTTTTTATAGATAGATATAGATGTATAAATTTTGTAATTTGTAATTTGTAATACATATCTTTATTAACTTTTTTTTCTTTTTATTTGATTCAACAGAAAATTTGGATGAGATTCTTGTTCTTTATGCTTGGAAGTTTCTTTATTATTTGCTTTTTTTTTTTGGTAGGTTTTTTTTTTTTTTTTTTGGTGGTTGAAGTTGTAGGTAAATGTGATGATTGTTTGCTTTGATTAATTGTGGAGGATGAAGAGAAGATTGATTAAATCAAGAAATGCTTACGGAGATTTGGGGGAGGAAGCATGTAGACTCAAATGTGTGATTTTTGTTTTTGAATGCAATGTTTACAATGCAGGGTACTCTTTTCTTTCGTTTGGGGCTTTGGGTTTTTCCCAAATAAGGTTTTAATGAGGCCCCAAAGTGTTATTCCTTATCTTTTGTAAATTCTTTTAATTTTAATAAAATTAATTACTTAATATATTTTTAAAAAATATTTGTGTTTCATTTGTATAAAAGGGCACACTTGAGAAAATTTGCCCCGGCCTTAGAATCCCAAGACCGGCTCTGATTCTAATTAGTATAAATAATTGGGTTTTCAATAACGACATAATTAGAATGCATTTTACAAATAAGTTAATTATTCAAACATATATAAGAAAAATGCAAAGAAAATGTTGAAATTACATAGTCAAGACCTTCAAAATATAATATTATAACTTAATTTCTTAACAAGTTACTAACGTGGGTTAACACGAACATGATCTATTTTCTTAATAGGTCACACACTCGTTATCAACACGACCTTTTAATACTTAACATGAATACTGAATCTTCGTGTGTTGCTAGATAAATAAGTTAAAAGTGACAAATTGTTAATCGTTAAAGTGTATTGAGTCAAAAGAAATCAACAAGATTCACTTATATATTGAAAAAATCTGCTTCCAAATGTGATTTTCAAGAGATGATAATCATCGGACTTGATTCACATTCACCTCTTATGAAATAAGTACGGGCGTCGTCAGAGGGTATGAAGAAGTAGTTGGGGGAGCATGTGGACAGTAATAGCTTCTTATAAAGGCCAATAAAGATCCAGCCAAGTTATGGCCTACTCACACTGTCAAAATCAATCCTAAGTTGTCCAGAACTTATGCGTGGATGGAGGAGTATCTTCACAATCAATATGGGGCCAACTCACTTCATACTCATATGCTTTTCTGCTGTTTCCTTTTTCCTTTTGCATTTTTCATGAGAATAAAAGGGAAAACATTTAATTTAGTAGGTCAACTCGCTTTCAGGTCCGATCCTCTGGCTTTACCAGGCTGTGGTATCAAACAATTGGAAAAAGATAAATCACTATTAACAATTTGACAAATACAAAGCCCTACAACTTTTCAAAATTTCTTCTGTGCGTTGATGATGAATTCATTTGGCAACTTGTGAGAACAAGAATTTTCTGGATACCCTACCAAAAATAATGCACATTTCTTTCCGTCACCAAATCTTGTTTCTCATAGATTGCCCCAAAGAATTCAAATTTATTATCTCAACAAATAGTCCTTTTCATTTAATTCAATAATGCCTCCATGGAATTAGCGGTTAAAATGATGCAAGGTGTTTTAAAATCATAGACACGTGTATGTGTTTATAAAGACTAAAATGTAACAATGGTCTCTAAATTAAGACCCGACTTTACTTTTCATCCTTAATCTCCAAAAATAGCAAAAAGGGTCCCTAACACCACTCGACATGTGATACACATTTTGAGGACGACTAAGACTTCTATCCAACCACCATTTTTTTTACCCAATGACATGCATGTGCTACATATTTTAAGGGCAAATAAGACTTGTACCTAACCACCACCCCCCCTTATAAAGGGTGATGAGTATTTTGGTGATTTATGGTGTTATGCTAGCACACAAGTCGTTGTGTGGGGGTGATGGGAAAAAATTATTTCTAATATTTAATATGAATTTCTCAATTTGCTTTTAATTTTAATAGAAAAATGAAACAAAATTTATAGAAAGACCAATAATGCAACACGATATCTAATTGAAGGACCATAACAATTTTAAAAACTGAAAGACGAAAAGTAAAGTTGGATCTTAGTTCAGGACCATTGCTACATTTTAGCTGTTTATGAATGCTCAATAGTTCGTGTATTCCAATTTGCATATACCCTATAGTTTGGTGTTTCCCGTAGCTGACCATTTATAAAATTACATATAAGATGGTAATAAGTTAATAATAAAGTAACTAATAAATCAAAGTTTAGGAAAATGCCTTGGGCTTTTATTTCGAGATTATCAGTAAAGTGCATGGCCCACTTAAACTACAACTTACACCTAATGTGGCATGCCTTTCCTGATTGTAGAGAGCCTCCTCTCCAGATACAAGCAATGCAGTATCCAGAACGCCACCACCAACAACAAAGCAAATCCAGAAAGAGAAGCCTAGATACCAACTATTTCAGTATCCAAAGCAACCCAGAAAGCTTTTCACTTTCAAAGTCCCTCACTGCTCCCAAATCCCAACCTCCATGAACCCATCCTCAGTTGCACAGCCCCTAAACATCCCAGTACAATTAAACCCGCATGCCACTTCCCCTTTGTTGGACACTGCTATGAGCCCGGCCTTCCCATCATCAAGCCTCTCTTTGATCACAAAGTCCACAGCCTCCTGTAGGCCCAGGCCCTTGTATTCCATCACAGCTGCCACCTCACGCGCCAATGTACCGCGAATGATGGCCTCGCCCTCTCCCGTGCACGAGACCCCGCACAAGTCACCCGCATACGTGCCAGCACCAATCAGGGGTGAGTCGCCAATGCGGCCCGTCATTTTGTTCATGAGCCCACCAGTGGATGTGGCCGCAGCGCAGCGCCCCTGGTTGTCCACCACCACGCAACCGACAGTTTCGGGGGCATAGACGCTAATGGGGAGCCCGTTCATGTGCAACGGGCTCTCCACACCTGAGCTGCAACTCTCCATTCCAAGTGGGATCCTGTAATCAAACTGCACGTGACCAAAATTAAGAGTGGTTTAGTGTCACTGATGGACCACACAACCATAGTATTAAATTAATTTAATGAAAGATTAATCAAAAGATAAATAGATACCAAGATGGTGTTGGCTTCCTTTGCTAGCTTGAGCATGCCCACATTTTCCTCAGTGATGAAATATTCATTTTCCACGAGCTCAACTCCCTGACACGCGACACCAAGTCCCATAAAGATTCCACAGAGAAAAAAGAAAGGAAGATCTTTGTCTAGAAAAATAATAGTAATATTATTATTAAATTGTTTTTTACATCCAATATTATTATTAAATTGTTGGGTTAGGAGATCTAGTAAAATAATTATTTTAACAGACGTGTGGCACTGGAAAGAATACGTGGAATCTTCGCACTAGATTCCTACACCTGCTGAAAAAGACAGGAGTATTTTTTTTCATTTTTTACTTTTTATAGAATCAAAAGAAGACTTTGGTTCTTCGATTTGGTATTGATAAGTATAGGGACCAAAGTGTGTAAATATACAAACCTGTTGCCGGGCGAAGTCTTCGGCGCCGGAGAAGGCGAGGTAGGAATGAGGGGATTTGTCCATGACGAGACGTGCCAGCGAGATCGGGTTCTTAACGGTGGTCAAGCCCGATACGGCGCCGCATCGTCTCTTGGGCCCATCCATGATGCTGGCTTCCATCTCCACCGTCCCTTTCTCAGTGAGGGCCGATCCACGGCCGGAGTTGAAAAAGGGGTCGGTTTCCAATTCCCTCACCTATGTCACACAACAAAAATAGTCAGTAAAATGCCATTTTTGCAATACTTTGTTAACTGTACACTGGTGCATAAAAAACAAAAAACAATAACAATAATAATAACATAAAAAAAGGTCCAGCATGCATGATTGAGCGCCAGCTAGCAGAGTGAAATAAGGAGTGGACAAAGTAAGCATGCAAACTAAGACAAAACTAAAAACTCGGAAACATAAATGGAAATGTCCGGGAGAATTCTCGGGACATGTTTGGTTACAGAGAAAACCCACAACGCAAACACAAGAAATGAGATCTTTTTTTTTAAATCAAACGGATTAAAGAATGGCAAAATAAAAATAAAAGTATGGGATTTGATGAGAATTGAAATGTGGAGAGAGAGGGACGTACAACAAGCTCAACAACATCAATGGCGGCGAGATCGGAACGAAGAGCAGAGATGCCAAGATTGAGGCAGCGAGTGAGGAGTTGTTTGGCCTGTTCCTGACGCTCCATCGGGAGATTGGGATCCACACCAGCGCCGCCGTGAACAGCGATTGCCCACCCGCCCATTTTCTCTCTCTCTCTCTCTCTCTGACTGCCTGTCTCTCGCTCTCTCTGTGTCCTCTTTCTGGACTTGCTTTGCTGTCTCTCTGTTTCACTCTCTAGCTCTCTCTTTCTCTCTATGTTGTGGCTGCGAGTATGAAGGGGGCCGAGGGAGGTTTATATAGGCGCTGGCGGACTCCAAATGCCCTTTGAACCCGGATCTTAAAATTTCATTAAATTAGGTGGGGAATCTTCTGTTGGGCCCAAAAAATAAAATTGCAAAAATGAAAATTAGGATTCTTTGTTACAAAAACCGAGATAAATAAATAAATCAGGATTCCCTGCATCGCATTTGTGTCTGTGCCTCTGCCCACCACTTGTTGCGGGAGGTCCTGGTCTGTCCCACATTCAAAAGGCGTCTTTTCTTGTCCTAATTTTGAGAGGAAAATACTAGCAATCTTCTCTCCAAACTTTTTCTTTGGACCTTACTATAAACAACAAGAATACTACCTATACTAATTGTCACTAGAATCAGAAATATTGAACATGCAAAGGTAGGGTTGACCGAGAGGTAAAAGTCGAGCGAGTATGGAGTAAATTTTTACATGTTTCAGAATGTGTTAAATTTACCGGAAGATTGTTAAAAGTAATTTTATGTATCTATAATTTACTAATGATGGTTTGTCGTGAGATTTCATTCCATAAAGTAAGAGATCATGATTTAGGGTTTAATTCACCGATATGCTTTGATGAGTTGACGAATTTCAAAATCATCAACTTCCCTAATCTGGCTTAAGCAGCAGCTTAATCGGGTACTTTGGCCTAGTCATGAACAACGCAACACCTGCAGGTGGAGTTATTGTATTATAAGGAAAAACATATTTGAGCCCCGACAATCGTGCAAATAAATACAAAGAGCTCTTCCCATAATCTTACATTGAACGTGGGCTAATAATTTAAGTACAAAAATAAAGCCTCGGTCGACTAACCATTTTGTTGCTTTCTCCTTCTTGTGATATTTGTTTAGGCTTCGCCCTTTGTCATTTCTTTATCAATTTTTCATATCTGGACTTACTAAACATGGGAAAACAATTGATTTTCTTCATTTCTCTTAAACCAAACAGGATCTTGGTATCTTGAGATATTTTCATGCATAACTTTAATTGAATATATAAATATCATGATATTAGATATTAATAGCCCAAACCAAATATGCATGGTGCAGTTGTTATTTAAATTAAAGCGAGTGCAAAATTTATAATTTCAAGTGACCTATGAATTTCTAAATTCACGTGACTTTCCTTCTTTCTACATACTTCTTTATAGCAAGGTAGGTGGGGCGGGCCTGGCGGCGGACCAAAATTAATTTCAAAGGCGGTGGTCCCTCCGATGCTGGATTTTTATATTCCCCACATGACCATAACCAATTTAATTATTATTTAATTATCATGTGATAATGAAATGATAAGAATGGTGATGATTGGCTAATCTTGCTTAGGCTGGTGACAAAGTGAGGATGTAGCTCTCAGATATGCATAAGGCTCATTCAAACATTTCAGCTAATTAGCGTAAAGACTAAATCAAATTGAAACTCTACACATATGTTATTTCGCGCAGTCATACATATGTATGCAACTTTGATTTAATCCATGATTAGGATCTCAAGTTTCATTTCTATACAAATTTATTTTCAAAAAATTCCTGACCATAAGATTAAACAAATACTAATTGACGAAGATAGATGCACTCCCAAAGTTGGGGGACGAGAATGGGCACGTCAGCAACACATTTTAGTATTCATGTACATTGCACCCACTAATTCCACTTTTGTACGTCGTTTGTCTTTTTACTCTTCGGTGGAACATCAACAAATTATGATAATTGTGATCTGAATTTATAAATCTGTTTTAATTTGTCATTCTAAAGAAAAATTAAAGATAAATGTCACAGAAAATTTTCAAAATCAATGATTTGTTATCTGACTTAACACCATCTATTTTTAAGGGTATTTTACTCTTTCCATTTTTAAGAAAAAATTAATTTAAAATAAAGAGACATCTCTCTCTTTTTCCCCACTGAATCCCATCACACCATCCCCTCTCTCTCTCTCTCGCTCTCAGGATTTTTTCATTTTTAAAATACCATTGAAAATGGAAAGAGTAAAATACCCTTAAAATTAATACAAATTTATAAATAAACCCAATCCTAGACATGTATTTATAAAAAAAACCTAACACTATTTAAACATAGAAACACACCCAATCTCAACCCCAAAATCAACAATTGTATATTTTTTGGGTGTGTTTATAAATGGATTTTGAGTGTGTGTAATGATGGGTTTTGGGTGTGTTTATAAAGTGTTTTAGGTGTTGGGTTTTTTTATAATTTCAGCCCCCATTTTGGGTGTTTTAGTGAAACCCCCTAAAATTAAATGGTATTAAAGTTAAATGACAAATCATGAATTTTGAAAAATTAAGGTGACATCTCTTAAATATTTTTTAAGGTGACAAATTGAAACTGATGTATAGTTCAGGTGATATATCTACAAAAATCCCCAACAAATTCACTAACATTTTTTTTAATAATTATTTTTTCCAAATTAAGATAATTCCAGACCCCCAAAAATCTTGAAATGTAGAATCTTCGATAAATATTAATTTGTCATGAATATGTTAATGAGATAATTTGACAAACCTAAACTTTTTCTTTTTATTTTATTTTATCAAAGTGAGATATATAACTTCATTGAAACAACAATGTCATGGTACAAAAAGAAAAATTGGACTTCAGTAATGTAACAAGTGTGGCCTCATAACAATGAGATAACTATTTTGTTTATAAGTGTTTCCAAACCTAATTATGCATACATAACTGCCATCAAACTTCCATGCTTTTGGTAGAGCTGGCATTTGTGTCATTTTTTTAGTGTTCGTGTTGTTTTCGTGTCAACCCGCTTTTCTTAACCGGTGGACACAACACGATAAGAAAACAGATTGAAAATGTTAAACACAAACACGACCCGTTACAATTCGCGAATCACACAACACGACACGATAATCCGTTAAGAATTTTTTATTTTTTATTTTTAAAGAAAGGAAATTTTAAGCAATTAAAAAATCAACTACTGCACACACAAAAATAATAATAACACACACACACACACACAGAGTCCATAGACGAGCTTGAATGTGAGATTAGAGATGCCCTACGAGTGGCCTCAAATGTTTGGGCAGCGGAGATGGTAGGAGTGGAGGAGGAAGAGACATCGGAGAAGGTGAGGGAATGGTGGGATCAATCGGTGAAGGAGGGAGTTAGAAGGGGGAGGCAGCTAGGATGACTCATGGTTTTGAGAGAGAGAGAGAGAGAGAGAGAGAGAGAGAGAGAGAGAGAGAGAGAGAGAGAGAGAGAGAGAGAGAAAAAACTGAGAGAATCGAGAGAATGAGGGAGGAAGAGACAAAACAGAAGAAAGAGATAAATTTACAAAAATGCCTATGAGCTTAACGGGTTAACGAGTATTCGCAAATTGACACAATACGACATGATAGCTTAACAGGTCAATATGATATCAACACGACAGGATAACTCATACCTAAATACTGAATTTATCTTACAAATTCATGTCGTATTAACGAGTCGTGTACAATATTGCCACATCTAGCTTTTGGGACGAAATCACCATTTAACATGAAATTTATGATTGGGCAATGATATGTAAGACAATGCTATGTGCGTACAAACAACCCAAGTATTTTTTACCAACTTTTTTTTTTCCTTTCTGCCGACCTGTGTCCTAAAGGTGTGAGACGATCATGTGGTGTAGATGTATTTTTTGGTTTTTAAATGTGAGGGTGTGGTGCGGCCACGTCATTCGCCTTGTACCTACCTATATCTATGGTTTATATTTCATCTTAGCCTAACTTTGGTATATAGGTGGTAATTTCGTTTTGTCCACAGTTAAAAATTGCTGCATGAATCCACATTGGAGTACGTAAACATTAAACATTTATTTTTGAGATAGGTTAGCTTGGTTACTTGCCCCTAAACTTGTACCTAACTCTTGATTTACCCCATATTCTTTTTTTTTTGGCCAATTTCCCCCCTCCGTTTAAATCCACAACATTTCATCTAATTTGTTGTTTAAAATTGAGAGCAAAATAGTCATTTTGTATATTAAAAATAAAAAAATAAAAAAAAAATTTGAAATACTCTCTCTCTCTCTCTCTCTCTCTCTCTCTCTC